CCCCCCCCCAGTGAGCTACTCATGAACGCTGCGGTAAGGCTCCGTATTAACGAAGAAAAAGTAAAATTGAAATGAGTTGAATCAAAATCGAGCTCTGATTTGGTCGACGAACTGCTACTCCCTGGCGACCCCCTTTGACCTTATCTAGCACATTCGTCTTGGGGGAATGGATTCCCCGAGGGGCTTTCTATAATAGATCACAATCAAATCAAAGAGGCAAGGAGTTCAAGACTTCGAAGGCTTGGAGCTGCCGAGCAAATGCTCTCCACGGACATGTCATAATAGAGAGGCTGTTGTCACCCTACCACCGAGACCATGGTCATTCCTTGTAGCCAGAAGACTCCGCTAACCGGCAAGCCTATAACCGGGCCGGCGCGCTGGGTCCTCAATGAGAAAGTGCCGATCGTCACAGGTGGCGAAGGGACTAGTGATCAAGACAGGGCTGTTGCGGCTTTTTCGGGCTGTGCCGCGCGTGAGGGTAGTCGCAACTTCCTTCTCCACACTAACAAAATACCTCAAGGCATCTAACCTTGCACAAGAAAAATGCTGGGTAGAGCAAACTCCCTCGGAGTGGGATGGCCATTGCTGTTGCTCCCTCCTTCGAAAAGCTATCGCTGGAAAAGAAAACCAAACCGTCTGCAGGGAACCCCCGCGAACTTGAAGCAATCCATCTCTCACGCGAAGATTTGTGGGTCAACCACAACTATGTTCCCGATACGCACGATATTCCACGGTACCAGACCTCGGGCAGGAAAGATGGAGCAGAGGCCTACCTCCCGGCGAGTGGCATTGCTATTGCTGTTGCTTCCTCCTTCGAAAAGTGAACGTCGGAGAACCAAAACCCGTAGCGGTCTAACACACCGAACTTGAACCGACCGCTGTCGAGCCGTAGACGCTTTTGGGTCCACACAAACTTTTTTTTAGGGCGCATTCGGCATTTCACGGCGCCAAACCTTGGGACCAAACCTTGGGATCATTCAACAGCCCGCGGAATCAGCTCCTTAAGGATACCTTTCTTGAGGAAAATTTTTCCTTATTCAGCGAGATATTGGTGAACACGTGATCAGAAGAGCGCAAAACCATCTAACAACACCGCTTGCTGCTGGATATTCCTTGCCTGACCCATGCTCTATCCCCGATAACATGGTTGAGCCCTTTTTCCCAGTTTCCACGACAACGCATCTTCAATTTGATATTGGACCCATTTCAAATTCGATTTTTGGTTCTTCGTTAATACAGGGCCTAACGCGTCAGCATTCAATCACCCTTTCCCACTCCTATGTGCGGAACGACCTGCGATGTAGTGGTATATGGTGGTACCACATATTTGTCGTGCTTCCTTAAAGCGTTGTGCAACACCAGTGCACAGTGCTCCGCACAAGACTAGTTGTTTTGTAGATTCACGTCAGCTTATTGCGCACCCTATATCACTTGGGTCACCGCAACCCTAATGGCCAACTTCTGCGTGTGAAATCTCAATGGCAGTTGTGTCGCCAAATCACAGCCGAGAGTTTGATGGTAGTGTGGTACTGGGCCAGTATGTGCTGCCAGATTCCTACGCTACACACTTCCAAGGGCCTGTATGAAGTTCTAGTGCCGCTACTTTACGCGGAAAGTGTTTCGCCCAATCCCAGACGTAATTCTAGCACATGACATGGGGTATATGGTGTGTTGCTTAACACCTCCCACCCGAGTTATCGCCTTCAAACTTGGTTGGACTTAATCTCCTGTCTTTCTATTGAGTAGGTCGGGTGGACGGTGGAAATACCGCAAAGAGGCGCCGTCGACGAGGAAGTAGTAACGGGGCCCTCTGGGACGTCTCCGCCGGGTCCCTTCGCCGGCCAGCCGGGGGGAGGCGCATTGGCGGGGGGGCGATGGTGTAGGCTCGACAGTGCAGCTTCGCCGCGTTTCAGTCCACTAGTAATTAGGACCCAGCACCCGACCGTTGGTTTGGCACTCTTGACCGCATCTGGTGGTGGACCCCCCCCCCAACTACAGATACAAGAAGAGGGATGTCCCGAAGGAGTTGAGTTATGCACGTAAAGGGACGCGCGTAACACGGAAATGAGACGACAGTCGCACACTCATACACACCGCGGACTTCTTTGGCACTATCGTGGTACAACAGCGAGGATCATTTTCCTAATTTTGGGAGTAGGACGCCAACGCAGTCTCTACAGCCCGCCACTGGGCGATGATGGACAAGACGACATTGTCTATGTTGTATGTTGTATGTTGTATTGGCCTAAAAGCTCAACGTGTCTGTATTAGGTATAGGTGCGGTGCTTTACTTCGGAGGAGCTGCGCAATGATCGGGTCGACTGAAGGTGGGCAGCAATACGCAACCCTCCCCCCTGTTTGAACATGCCAACTCCACAGATCCACCAGCAAATGCGGCACCCGCGCATCGTGAACCTCACGGACGTGTTCGAGATTTGTTGCGATTCGTTTGCAACGGTGCTCGACTACTGCCGAGGAACTGACTTGGAGTGCCTGCTCCGCGAGAGAAAACAGTTGCCGGAACGAGATGCGCGGGCCTTAGTTCTCCAAGTAGCGAGAGGGCTGCAGTACCTGAACACCGCTCAGGTAGCAGGGATGGATATGTGCTAGAGGGCAGTGTCTTTTTCATGTCTCAGTAACCCGCGATTCGCGTCTCTGCGCGGAGCTCCTTAAATTTCGGGCGGAATGAGACCCACGTACGTACTTCGTACCTCGTGACGCAAACTAGTTTAACGCAAAACTGCGTCCACGGTACCTTTCTTTTGGGTTGAACTCAAGCTCAGGACGGCTGTAGTAGATTTGAGCCCTCCCTGTGCAGCAAGACGAAAGCATTAATTGTGTTGTTTGATTATGGGATCCTCCCACATCGCGTGTGTGCCTGGGCGTGCTTCTGTTTCGCAGGGCGAAGGGGAGAGTAGGAGAGGTGCAATCATCCACTACGACCTCAAGCCTGGCAACATCTTGCTCGATGAAAACGGGGACGTCAAGATCACAGACTTCGGCTTGTCCAAGGTACGTCGTCGTTGTTATCACGTGGCATTCCTGACGCTTCCGGAACCCCCGTAAGAGGCGTAGAGATGGTACCCCCCCTAGAGCGACTTTCAAAGCTCGATTGCTCCGCAACCAAGCTTATGCCAACACCAACAATATTCGTTTTGGAAACATGTTGTCGAGGGCTTTCCGTCGACTTACCGGTCCCTTTCTGCACCCACTTGGTTATGGAGCAATCGACCTTTGAAAGACGGTCTAGGGGGGAGGGGGGGTGCCATCTATCCGCCTCTTGCACTGGTTTACTTTGTCACCTGATGCTTGATTGTTGCCTTCACCTTTCGACGTTGATCCCGGTGGCACTGCACGCTCGCCACGCCCTACTCCGGATGTGCTGACGGCTGTGCATGTTGCTGCTCTGGTGCATCTATGATCTAGATCCTTGAAATCAAGAAGGACACAGAAAGAGGTACCGGCGGGGGAACATCGATGGAGCTCACTTCCAAGGGAGCCGGAACATACTGGTGAGCCCATCGTTGTTCCCGTGCTGTACTTGCAAGGCTTCGTCGGCTTCGTGGAGGGTTCGTCTGCCAAACAAGACTAAGATACCGCATGTTGGCCATCATCAGGAGTGATGACTCATGAAAGGGGTTTCAGACTTCTCTCTTAAGGAACCGTTCTTGGTCCCCCCCACGGGATTCTGGTGGAATTTTGACTTCAACAGTACTCAGAGTTTTGATCCCTGAAATTTGCGGTCGACACGCCTTCCACTGTATTGTTCGCGGCATGGCACCACATGCCGCCAGAAACCGTAGGAGGGAGTGTTCAAATATACCCCAGTCCTGCAGTCGCAGCAGGTCCTAGATCACCGTTGATTCTGCTGGACGAAGTTTCTCACGAGAGGTGTTTCAAGGTCCAGGACAATTTGTCACGAGGTCTGTTTTCGGGTACACCCGACATGGCACGTTGTGTTCTCCCAATCCAGAGAGAGACGCTCAGTGCGCATCACCACAGCACCTCACAAGCGCAGCCGATGAAACCTGGACAAGATGATTAGCAGTCGTAACTTCCCAGAAATGAATTTTGACGGGACGTTGATGGATTTTTTGAACCGAGCACCGGCAGCGCGAACGCGGCCATTTCGAAGATCTGGTTCGGTTTGCGCGAATACCCCCCCATGTCCACGTGTGTAGCACCAATCAACCAACGGATTAGACGCCAGTTTTGGTGGTACCTCGAACGATGTTTTTTTTGCCACGAAGATTGCTTGTCCGACTAGGCAAGGTGAACACAATCTCTTTATGCCGTAATTGGCAGTAGGTGATTGGGCCAATAAGAGGGCAAACAGCGTATGATGTCAGGCGGACGAGGTGGGGGCCGGGGGGTAGGGCATCCTTGTCCCGAGGACCCGTCCGTTGAAGCTGCGTTTTTGCAATCCCCGACTACTTTTTGTGTTTGTGACGAGCCGATTCTTTCAATCATGAGCACTGGAGGGCGGCCTCTACGATCTTCTGCGCTCCCCCCCCTCCCCGCCCCCACTCTCTCTTGCGTGATAGTGGTCACGGTGACGCTCGAGAGTAGGCAGCTGGCGATGTGTACCGTGTGTTCCCCAGATGATGGTAGTTGACCAGTTCGAGCCGAAAGAAACCACCGGGGATGTTTTTCTGGAGATCAAGTTGGCACTTCGTGTCTCTAACGTGTCGAGTCTTGATATTGAACAGTCTTCTGCCAGGTATGCGCCCCCGGTTGAATCATGTAACTAGGCAAGATACCTGCTCTATGGGCGTTCTCTGCTACGTTTATATCTACCCCGCGCACCTGTGGTCGAGTTTTGCCCCTTTCTTCTCCCTTGAGCAAAACCCGTCTGTGAGTTTCACACTCCTCCGTGATGGATATAACCTCCAGTGTTTGTCACGTCGGTATGTAACCTTTGTCTCTTGCGACCTTGCGTTGCTGGGACATTCGACTTGACAGGTATCTTCCACCGGAGTGCTTTGGCGACAACCCTCGAATCAGCTCCAAAGTGGATGTGTGGTCCCTCGGGGTGATCTTCTACCAGATTTTGTACGGGGTTCGACCCTTCGGAGAGGGACTTTCTCAGGTGGGGGGGGGGGGGGG